ATAATTCAGGCCCCTATAGTAATGATTTAGCCCCGCAAGTAATTACCCTAATGAACCACATGCGCTCCTTACAGTGGCCTTGCAGACCAACATATCAAAGCTACGACGGGTACTCAGGCTCCAACATTAAACCCTTGTAGTAGCCGCGCCGGCCGTCGGGTAAGTTTGGCTGACCCCTTTACTGATCCCTTTAAAGGAACCCTATTCTACCCTTTAAAGCCCCCTGAACCCCCTACCCTAGACCCTAAAGCCCTAAGCCGTAAACTCATAAAAACCCCTTATCCCTAACACCTAAACCCTCACCCAAAATCCTAAGTAGCCCCAAACCCTCAAGCCCCCCTAAACCCCAAACCTTAAAGTCCTAAATCCCTAAACCGCAAGCTCTAAAGCCTTAAACCTCAGAGCCCCTAAGGGACCAGAGTTCTGGTCCTCTAGAGGGCTGCGCAGCAACTCGGGCGGAAGGAAGTCGTCCACCTGCAAAAAAAATGTGTATATATATATATATATATATATATATATATATTATATAGGAGCCTTCATAAGTTGATTGGGAACTCGGGGATTTGGGTTAGGGCTAAGGGGGGGTTGGGGTTTAAGGTTTAGGGGTATATGACAAAATAGAAAGAAAGGACCCAAAGGAATAGTGTTAAGAGAATGGCAGAAGAAAGGAAGACGAAACTACAAAAAACGTTTCGGTGGTGGTCCGAGGAAGTTCAGGTCTTCCCGTGCTTAGTTTAGTGTCTGGGTTCTCGAGTTCGGCTTAAGGGGTTTGCTCAGCGGCTTAATCGTGTTCTAGGCTTTGGAGTCCGGGGGTTTAGAAGACCTCCCCGAATCCTAAGCCCTTAAGAGTTAGGATTAGGGGGACTTTTGGGGATGTAGATATGGCCCCTTTTAAGAGAGCCAGAAGTGGGATTAAGAAGGGTTCCCTTGAAAGGGCTTTCCCTAATCCTACCTAGGAGCCCTAAGGCTTTAAGCCAAACCCGAACTCAAACACCTAAACCTGAACCTTAGACAACCCAGACCCTTGAACCCCAAACCCTTATATGAATTCGAGTGCTGAACCCTACAAACTCGAGAAAAAACTCTATACCCGAAATTTGCGAGGGCAAAGGGTTCGCCCAGGGCTTCAAATCCCGCGGCCATGTAACTCTCCCGCAACTACTGTCCAAAACCCAACTACCCAGATACTCTGGACTCTTACAACATCCTGTGGTTCTAAACCCCGATAACCCTATAAAAACCTTTTATTTAAACTTATACCAACTCTGTAAATTAGAAGAAGACCCTGTTTTAACAGAATGCCTTCTGGACGCTTGGCCTCTTAGGATTAGACACCTGGTTTTGTCAGTCGGCCTGGCTCATCAACGCCTCCCATATACTGTCGAAGTCTCGAGCACGATGACCTTGCTAGGTCCCTTAACCCTAAACCCCCAAACCCTAAACCCTAAACCCTAAACCCCTAAACCCTAAACCCCCAAACCCTAAACCCATGATGACCTTGCTAGGTCTCAGCGCTCTTTTTTGAGGGCCTTTTCCATCTCCCACGTCCCAGACCCGGAGCCGAAGGGGTCTCTGTAACAACTCACCTGCAACCTAAATGGGAGTTTCCGAAAATTAGGGGGTACCTTAGGGTTCCTTTAAAGGGTTACTATCAGGGTACTAGTATTCCTTTAAAGGGCTCTACAAGGGTTTAGAGTTTCCGAAAATTAGGGGTACCTTGTTTTGGGGTCCTTTAAGGGTTCCTTAAAGGGATCTATAAGGGTTCTATAAAGGGTTTAGGGTTTAGAGTTTCCGAAAATTAGGGGTACCGTATTTTGGGCCTTGTCATAGGGATCCTACTATTTAGGGTACCATATTAGGGTCCCCTATTTGCTGAAACTCCCAAATCAACTGGGTTTCAGGCTTAGGGTTGACTTACCTTTGGTTAGTCGGGAATGGAAGGATGGTAGTAGTAGTAGTAGTAGCTATGATTGTACCCCATTCATTCCTCCATTCCGTACGAACCAAAGGCAAGTTAAGAGTGTAGGGTTCGGGACTTAGTATTTAGAACTGGATTCATCAAGAAAGCTTAGGCTCACTTTTGTGGAGCCAAGCCTTACACACCCTTAACTCATAATGCTAAACCCTAACCCACATAATCCTAAAACCTACACCCTGAACCTCATACCGCACAAAAATGAAAACCCATAAATAACGAATCCGGACTTAATTCTAAACTCGAAACCCCATAGCCTGAACCCCACACCGACGAGTCGAAGTGGCCTTGTTGTAGCGCTCACGGCAGAAGAGGTGGAAGCACAGTCCCCCCTGTGTTCGGCCTGGACCGGTGGGTTTAGGGCAAAAGGGTTTAGGGTTTGGGGTTTCGGGCATCGGATTCTGGGCGCTTAGGGTTTAAGGGGGTTTGAGGGCTTAGGGTTTGAGGCGTAGGGCCTCGGGTTGAAGGGGATTTAAGCTTAGGGTTTAAGGTTTACCTTCCGGGCCCGAAACACGGGATTATTAAGGATTTGAAGGATTTGGATTTAGATGATGGTAAGGTAGGCTAGGAGCCGGGAGAATATATGATCGGTATTGGCCCGCTGAGGTTAGGGCTCACAGCTCAGAGTCGAAGGTCTACGATTTCTGGAATGGGCTGGCTCAGAGTTGGGGCGAAGGATCAGGAACCCTAAACCCTAAACCCTATGAGGAAGGTTTGGAGGGCTTAGGGTTAATCCGCATTTGAGGCAACAGGCCAGCCCCAGGCGCCAATATGTTGAAGAACGCAATATAGGGGCCTTAATAATTTCAATAGGGTTTTGGGGGTTCCTTATTATAGCTATGGTATAAACTACCCCCAACCCTAGCCTCTTATGTTACCTTGAATCATACTCAGGAGCCAATTTATGTCGAAGAAAACTCCTTTATTCACAGGTCTTGGGCTATCTGCGGATCCTGTAGTCATGCAGCAATGCTGCACATGCTATCGTAGCCTTTATACAGTCTCAAAGGAAAAATTCAGAAACTACGTGGCTGTGTGCCTTATAGTAGCGTTTCTTACGCCCTTAGCAGCAACCCGCAGAGGAACCCTTACAGTCACCCTTCAAGGAACCCGGAACCCCACCGTCTTCTGAGACCCCCCGCCCGCGCGCCCTGCTCTCTGCTTCGACGATGCCTGAGGCATCGGTGACGCAGGTGGTTCAGGGTTAGCCCTAGGCTTCCAGGGACCTTATATAAGGGCCCTAACTATAAGGTCCTTGGAAGCGTGGGTTAGGGTTAAGGGCTTACGGTTTAAGCTTTCAGGTTGTCGTTCGAGGCTGGTATCGGCATGAAGATCGGTTCTACCTGGGTAGTTGTCAAAATTAGGGTCCCTTTCTAGGTACTTTAAAAAGTAGGTAATTACATGAGGGACCCAAAAAGGGACCATAACTGACTTTGACAACCACCCACCTGAGGTTCGCAGAAGTTTTCGGGGGAGCTGTTGTACCCCGGCACCACCCAAGGAAGCCCCGCTGGGGAAAATGCCCTGTGGGCTGCCACTTCCATTCAACTTCCACGAGTTGTCTTCTCAGAAGGCAAAAGCAACGTAGTAATATAGTGGCCTTAATTAGAATAGGGCTTTGGGCTCGATTATGCCCTGAATAATATAATAAGGAACCCTAAAGAAGAATATGGGGAGTTATTGAGGCCCCTATAATACTCAACAAGAAATGCTTCAACCGCCATTTAACAGAAATTTAACAGCAAGCAAGACCTAACACTAGATCATGGAATTCGCTCTGCCAACGCCGCCTTGGAAATCCATGAAGTCGTCAGCGTGCCCACCTGAACTCTTGGGGTCCTATACTGCAAGGGTTACATAAGAGCTTTACGGTCCTTGAAGGGTTACACAAGCGGTTTAGGCCTTGTGCTTGAGGGTTGCAAGGTTAACGCTTAGAAGCACGCAACTTTAAAGCCTGAACACCGAGCCCTCAACCCCAAACAATAAAACCCGGCAAACAACAGTAGCCGGCATATGAGCATCAGCGGGACGTTCAGAGAAACCTCACAAAAGTTCAAGTTGAGTTGCGAATTCTGAACACGTTATGGAATCACAGTTTCCAGGAAGCATTGGCGAAGGATGCCCATGACATGCACATAAATACCGCCGAACCAAAAAAAACGACAGCGTCCTAAAACCTGTGAATGCATACCCCGCGCCGTCAACTCAAAAGCCTACAAGGTTACAAAGCCGCAAACCGGTAAACCCTGTAAGCCCTAAATTTCATGAAGGCCAACACGCACATGAACTCGATCATTACATCGCTTTTCTGCCCCCCCCTTGGCTGACAATCGGTCTCGGCTTACGGTTGCACACGGGTGTGTGTCCTTTGCTTGGCTACGGAATCAAACACTGTAGCGGGCGCTCCATCGTCTGTAAGGCTACATAACCAAGGTAACTTCTATCTCATATTCATTGGAGCAAGTCGAGATTCCTTCGAAGGACGCCGAGGAGCTTGTCATGGCCTGCGGCTTTGTTGGCGTCGGCCTCTGCTCGCATCAACACTTTGACGATTCGCCAGTGTCCCTTGCGCGCAGCCTCGGCTAGAGGTGCCTGACCACACTTCCCAGACAGATTCATGCTTGCACGAGCCTCCAAGAGCATTCTCACCACTTCATTGTGGCCGTTGCGTGATGCCCCGGTGAGTGGTTCTCCATGACTCACACTGGCACGAGCTTCCAACAGCATTCTCAGGATTTTTATGTCGCCGTTGCTTGATGGCGCCGTGAGCAGTTCTCCATGACTCACACTGGCGCGAGCTTCCAACAGCATTCCCACCACTTCATTGTGGCCGTTGCGTGATGCCGCCGTGAGTGGTTCTCCATGACTCGCACTGGCGCGAGCCTCCAAGAGCATTCTCACCACTTCATTGTGGCCGTTGCTTGATGGCGCCGTGAGTAGTTCTCCATGACTCACACTGGCGCGAGCTTCCAGCAGCATTCTCAGCACTTGTATGTCGCCGTTGCGTGATGCCCATGTGAGTGCCTCACCAGTAATGGTTCTGCCAGCCTGCACGAGGAGCCGTAATGAGATTTAATGTCTCAACTTCGCCGTTGTCACACTCCCTGAGAAGCAGGCTGACGGGATCCTTGCAGCTCTTGTGCACATCTGCTTCGGCTTCAAGCAATCGGCACGCAATCTCACGGTTATTTCTGTCGATTGCCCAAAACAACGGTGTCTGCTTGGCAAGGTCGTGTACACGTCTGTCCCGAAACCGACTGAGGTCAGCCATGAAGTCACCATTCGCCGTAAAGCTATCTGGATGATGTGGCCGTTGCAAAATCTCTTCCACACGGCCAAGATTTCCATGACAAGCTGCTTTTCGCAGCTCAATTGCCTCATCGTCAGACACAGCACAGAAGGGTAGCACCACCAGCTGAAGGTCAAAAGGCGGGTCAAGCGTGTCAAGATTAAACTCATCCTCCAAGGCATTTTGCTCGTGCAGAAGCCGTTGCCTAAATCGAGTCACACCACACACCTCCTTCAATCGCTTCTTCAATTCCCGCACATCTGCCAGCCCCTCAACTGGTATGGAGATGACTTTATTACCGGATGTGCCCCAGACGTCCAGCATGCCGATAGCTCACTATCGGAGCCAGAGGACGTGCCCCAAATCCCGAAGCCTAAAGCTTAACCATATAAGGTAGTGCTTCAGCTAACTCAAAGAAAGCGAGCAGGCGTTCTTGATTTCTGCAGGAAATGACGACAGTTTGGCAGATGAGCGAGCATTTACAGTTGACCACAGGAAAGTAGTGATCGCAACAACAACACCATGGTAGTACAGGGGCCTGTTCCTATTCGGATTCCCTCTATTCCCCACCTCTTAATCCCGTCCTCGGTGACCCCACACCAAAAATCTGCGCCACTGCCCCCCCCCCCTTAAAAATGGAAACGTGTCACTGATACACCGGTGAATGCGCCCCCTCCAACGGATTTTTGGCTTCTGTGGCAATTTTCCCCGCTTCCCCTCCCTCCCCCTCCCCCCCCTTCCCTCCCGCCCCTCCTCCGCTCGCTGCACCCGAAAGCACGACGCCCCCCTCCCCCGCCCTGCCCCCCCGCCTCCCCTCCTCCCCCACCCTCCCGCCCCTCCCCCCCTCGCTGACAGGTGCGAGCTTTCTTGTTTTAGACGCCCTTTCGTTGGGATAGGCGGAGTAACGTGGTTGAAAAGACTGTGATGCTTCCCTAATCCAAGACGCCCGCGAAATCCACAGCCTCAACGGCCCATACTTAAGGCATCCCGCCGCTTGCGAGAGTCTTGGTATCCAGTGTTTCGGAATGACGACACCAAAATTCGTACTGATACTACCACTACAAATACTAATTACTCACAATCATCCTGCTTCGTGTTGCTATGAACATTACTTTTACTATAAGTGCGATTCCAACTGTTACTTTTTTCCTACAAGAGCTTGCTGCAGATAGTAGCCACTCGCCGCATGCGCGTACAACCGGGCCGAGGCGGACGACGCGCAGCGTTTCAAATTAGAATAGGGTTTTGGGGCCCAAAGTAAAAAACACCGGTCATACTATAGGTAATTATTAAGGCCCCTGTATCGCAGCACTCTAGGTTCCTGAGCCCAGCGGCCATACTGCACAAGCAGGCGCCCTCCTGGGCACAACCTGTGAAGGTCGAGGACCCAAACCCAGGACCCTAAACATCCTCTCCTTAAAGGATCATGGGACTTAGTAACTAGGGTTCTTGCTAAGGTAGCCATACTTATAGTTTCTTATAACCCCAATTGAGGTACTTTATGACCAAACTTACTAAGTCCCATGATCCTCCCATTATGGAACCCTTCTAGATCCATTTAAAGAACCCTATTATAGAACCCTACAGTGCCCTTAAAAGGAACCCTAAACCCCAGCTACTAAGTCCCATGATCCTCCAAGCCGAACCCCAATCATCCTCTAAGTCTCTTTGCAACCCGACCGTGGTCTTTCCATATGGGTGGTTGCCAAGGGGCCTTCATAAAGGGCTCCTTAAAGGGATCCCTAGGGTTCCTTAAAGGGAGCTATGGGGTTTAGGGTTTTAGGGTCTATGGGGATTTTGGTGGTTGTCAAAATTATGGTCCCTTTTTTGGGGGGTCCATATTATAATAAGGCACCCAATATTTAGGGTGCCCAAAAAGGGACCCTAATTTTGACAACTAACCATATGAGGCTTAAGGTTTAAGCTGTGGGTTGGCGGTCTGGGCTCGGGAAGCGAGGGTTACTTGTTAATATAGGGGCTGAACACCCTGGCCCGAAAAAGGTTAACCTTTCCAATTATGGTAGGATTTTTGAGAGCCGAAGAATTTAAAAGTCACCTACGGACCTACTCAGCTTCTAAGCTTCGCTGCTTCGGAATTCGTCAGCATGGCATTCGGCCTGGTAGATTAGGCACGAAGGGGTTTTAGTCAAGGATGTTGACTTTAATCGAGCAGCGGCGTCGTGACACCCAATGCTGTGATTCCATGGGTTCCTATGTATTTCTTGTGCATCTTTTTGGACTCTGCATTGTTCTGGATCTTGTCATGGTCGTATCCCTTACCTTAACAGCCCATCTGTTGAGCGGCCTCCACGGCAGGGACTTGGCGTGCTGCGCAGTCAGCATGGTTTCAAGCGCTGCCATGCGGCAAACGGTGGCTTACTAATAGTTAGCCCTAAACGCTATAAACCCAAAACACCCTACAAACCTATAAGCCCTATACTCGAAACCCTGGGCCCTGTGGGCCCTAAAAGACCTTCAACCCTCTGAGCCCCAAACCCTGGAAAACCGAATCCGTGCCTTCAGGTAGGGGTCGTAGCTCACTTCCTCCCAGCTTGGGTTTTGCGGCTTAGAAGCATGGGGCTTCCAGCACGCTTTGTTCGGATTGTTGGGCTTCAGGAATTTCAGGGCTTATATAGGGTCTAGGATTTGGGTTTAGGGGAGTGCGAGGGTTTAAGAGTTTGGGGTTCAAGATTTCAGGATTGAATCCCAACCAATCAATGCAATTGCAGTTTTAAGGTCGAGGATTTCGGGGTGGCGACCTGTCAAGCAAGCTGGCGGCGTGAGCCCTGGCGGTGTGAGACCTACGGGGCAAACAACAAATCAGAGGTCATTAGTCAGTAGTGGCTTACCTTAAGGCCCCAAAGTAGTTCCTTTTTGGGGTTCGTATATAGAATCCTATAAGGTAATCCCAAAAAAGGAACTACTTTGGGGCCTTAGGGTAGTTAACGGTTTTCGGGAAACTTGCGCCAACCAGCTCAGTGACTGTGACAGTCTAAGTCTATGGGAAGATCCCTTCATAAAGGGTCCCGCAATGAGGAAGCTGTCCTCAGTGCAGCATTCAGGTGTTTGGGGACTCATTACTGCCTCCCAGACGTACTGCTTGGAGCGCGAGATAACGACAGAGAGGGGAGCTTTGGGATGCGAGGTTTCAGGTCCAGTCCAGGCTTAGGGTCTACGTGGACCCCAAATGCGGTCTTAGGGTTTAGGGTTTAGGGTTTAGGGTTTAGGGTTTGGGGTTTGGGGTTTGGGGTTTAGGGTTTGCCGTAGAATGGCGCATAAGCGGGAGTAGCTTGCGACAGTGTAATTTCGAGTGCATCGTCCTCAAGCGATTCAACTTTTGAGCCTGATTGTGGTTGGCTCTTTTTATTCACTCTCCCACCCCACGCCGTCTAAGGCGGCCAAACCACCCAAACCTATTCCTTTTAGGGTTTAGCACCTAAACTCAGTCTACGGTTTTCTTTTTCTTCAACCTCAGGCGGGGCAAAGCAGGGCAGGGCCAGGGTAGGTGAGGGGGCCAGGGAGGCCAGAGAGCCAAGGGCCGCCAGTGCGGGGAAGTTAAAAGAGGTCAGCGTCAGGGGCGCCAGGGGGAGCTGGGGGGGCCAGGGGGGGCCAGGGGGGGCCAGGGGGGGTCAGGGGGGGCCAGGGGGGGCCAAGGGGGCCCAGGGGGGCCAGGTGCGGGCCAGGGAGGCTGAGGCAGGAGCAAAAACAACAGTTTTTGTCCAGGTCTCCCCCTAGGACCCGCCTGGAGGCCCCTGGGTCCTCGAACTCTGGTTGCTGCAGGCCCCACCCCCCCCTGGGGGGTGCCTTTTTGGAGGGCGGCCCAAATGGCTTGGTCCTCCATGGTGAAGGGGGTGGGGTTTAGGGTATTTACTTTAATAGGGACCAGTACTGGTCCCGAGGAGAACCTGCTCCGGTACCGGGCCTGACGTGGGTGCTACTGTCCCCATGGCTGTGGAGAGGCGGGCAGGCGTCTTGGGTCGCTCTGCGCCATCGAGGTCGAGGGGCTTAAGCGCCGCCCACCCACAGTAGGTGGGCGGCTTATGCCTTGAGTTTGGGGTTTAGGGTTTAGGGTTTAGGGTTTGGGGTTTAGGGTTTGGGGTTTAGGGTTTGGGGTTTAGGGTTTAGGGTTTAGGGTTTAGGGTTTAGGGTTTAGGGTTTAGGGTTTAAGGTTTAGGGTTTAGGGTTTGGGGTTTAGGCTGCTACCCGAGTTGACCATCCCTGCCAGTATGTGCTTTGCAAGTATGTACATACATACATGGCTCAGCATGACACATTCTTGATTCCCGAGTTAAAGACCCTAACTGTAGCCAGGGTGTGCGATCGCTTCTTCTGCAAATTTTGCAGGGCAGCGTTTTAGCTCCATATACTTGATATTAGAGATCCGGACTCCTCTATAGCATCACCACGTCAAAATGCGTCCTGGTATCGTAGACCTTCTATTTGTATCCCGCATTCAAAGTTCAGGGGTTACACCGCGCGGGTTTTCAAGTCTTCCATCCCAGTATCTTGGATCTTGTTGGGAAGGCGGAAGCTTGCAACAAGCCTGAAAGCAACGCAGGGGCCTTGACAGTTCTGAGAACTTCTGCGGTACGTTACAAGATACTGATTTACCACGCAGGGGATATTGCCTTAAACCCCTCACCCCTATAAGACCCTATACCCTGAACCCTAAATTCTAAACCCCCCCTTTGAACCACAAAAGTACCGTATGCCCTTGAAGGGACCTTGGCGCGTGCCGTGTCGATGACGAACTCGGTGCCTTCCACGGTGATGGACGCCTCTCGGAGTCTGGGATTGTGGGTTCCTCCAAAGGGATCTATCAGGGTTCCTTAAACTGATCAATCATGGGGTTTCAGGGTTTGGGGTTGATAGGGTTTAGAGAGTCTGGGCTGACGGGTTAGGGGTTTCAAGGGTTTCAAGCCGCTGTAGGTCTGCAGGGTCCATGGGGGGTTTAAGTTTTTGAGGTTTAGGGGTGTACTTGGAGAGGCAGGGGACTCAGTAAGTAGGTTGTAAGTAGACTTATAAGTACCCTAAATGGAGTTACCCCAATCATAACCCTACTTATAACCAAACTTACTAAGTCCCCTGCTCCTCCAAGTAGGAGTTTAGGAGTTTTGGGGTTTACGGCTTAGGGGTTTAGGGGTTAGTGTTTAAGGGGTTTAGAGGTTTCAGGGCGGGGGGCTTAGAGGGTTAGGGGTTGAGGGGTTCGGACTTAGGGTTTGGGGGCTCAGGGTTTACTGATTTATAGGGTCCGGGGCGTTCGGGGCTTCGGGCTCAGAGGTTTTGGGGCTGGGATATAGGGTTTGGGGGTTAAGTGCGTAGTA